AAGAAATATTTGATGTTTAATATTGATGTGTTACCCTTGAACAATGAAAGTTATACAAAGGAGTCCCAAAATAACTCGGATTGACGTCTATCAACAAGCCGCTAGGGATTTTCCTGTTATCGATACAAAAAAAAATTATGCAATAAAACTCGAAAATCCCCGTTATAATCGCCAGAGAATTCTTTTGATAAACTTTCATTTTCGCGATTTTTCGTTTCGTCTGTTGATCGTGAATCCACTTTTCTGATCATTTCACATGCGTCAAAGAATATACCAACATGCGTCACATTGTCTTCGAAAATATCGCCGATAAACAATCAGAAATTCGAGCCAAAGCTATTCAAGAGCTCGATTCGCAGTGATGTTTGCAAATTAAATCAAACTCAGCTTCTCATAGTTACTAATCGACTTAAATAGGGACGTTCAACTTCCAATACAATACACCAACTAAATAACAAATATTTTACATAAATTACCATCGAATTTCGATGGAAAACTCGACTGTATGGATCTCACGATTTTCTCGCCAGTTCCATCGACGCAAAATCGAACGAGATATATCGATAGGAATCAAATGTGTGGTCGTTGTTTGACGTCAACTTCGAAAAACGAAGGCTCTTTATCGCAAGAAACAATCCTTTACGAACCCACATAACGTTTTACAATGGACAATTCAATGGGACCGAGATATGAACGTTCTAAAATATCAAACTCGCTTCATGTAACTATGGAATTCTAAGGGAAACAGAAACTAAAGCGAATTGTTTGCAATACCTACGAATTTGATAATGATAATATAGCAAGTTAGTTAGTTTGGTGAGTGCTAGACAATGGTTGTACATTTAGAAACTTTCTGTGTTTCCAAAATCAATTAAACAATCATCAAAAATCAAGCAATTGATCAGATTTAATTAAAAGAGTATGGTTTGGTTACCTTTAATAATAATGTAGATTGTATAAATTTTATTATTAAATGAATTTTTTATCTGCTTTTATTTATATATTTTTTCCATTTTATATCTTGATTGTATTGCCTTTTTAATTGAAGGATTTTTTAAATATAGTTCATGATTCTCGTTCAATGGAGCATTTTGTAATAAGAATTCACGCAATATGACTGATAAAATTTTTAATGCGTGTTAAAATTTTCAGAGAAGGCACGATTACAAGTTCCAATTTTTATATTTAATCGTATGGGAAATTTCATGTTGAAAATACAAAATTGGGACTCTTTCATTAATAATGAGCGATAAATATAAACTTCCGCTGATATAGCAGCTGATTATATTTATTAGTTATTAATTATTTAATTTTATTCTAGAGCATAAATCACACAAAATATGCCATTATTATTTAAAAAATGCCATTAAAAATCAACAAAAAGCCGTTTCATTCAGCGCACTTTGCATACCATTCAGAAAGCTTCTGCTTTAAAATAGATTTATTACAAACGTTTTCCCTTTTGTTCCTTCCACGAGAGGCCGCTGTCCTTAATTGACGTCAATGCAAATTCTCACTTTTAATACGATTATTTTTTTGTCTAAAATTTATGGACATTACGAAAAAAAAACATGTGTGTAGGTTCAAAATTGACCTCTGCTACACCCGCTTTAATACATTAAGCGTGGGATAATTTTAGAAAAATATAAGCTAATATTTACAGCTTTATGGATGAAGATATCACATGATTTTGAATCCAAATTTGCATAACTTTAAAATACACGGTGACTCGTTTAAAATATGAAAATAAACGTATGTTTGTGTTTGGATCCTTCCTGTATACCATTCGGATAAAATAGTCTAATTTCTTGAAAATTATGGATAGCATTGCAAGTTGTAAATATTTTTTGATTGACACATCAGTCCAATTAAAAATATTTATTTTTTTCTTTTCCTGGCAATTGCGCTCCGGAATAATTATTTTTAAGATGACAATCATGCAGTGATGTTCGAACGCTATATTTAGAACATCCCGTGGAATTGTACGAAACGTGCAATGTCCTATTGCAAAATGTAATCTTCAACCCCATTACAAATGAGCGTGTAACGTCCTTAAAACTATTATTATCGCGTGTTTGACGTCAATTGTCTGTAATGTCAACGGTCGTGTCAACGGTTTGAACAATTTATAATTGGAATAAATCAAAATTGTGCCACGTTCGATTCGATTTGACTAAATGCTACTTACAAACGAATCGATTTTGATAGATCGTGAGTCATGAACTTTTTTTTAGTACCTGCCTGCCTGATTTTATTCTACATTGAATAGGCTAATAATGCACAATTACTTTATCAGAAGTTTGAAAAAAATTTACAAGTTAATTTTTTCGCAATTAAAAGTATTATCATAAAATTAGAAAAGTGAAAAACCAATCGAATGAATCACACTACAATATTATTAAATATTCAATAGGTACCCATTGAATAAAAAATACGCTTTTTGTGGATTTGTCATTCATTGTTTTAAAAACTAATGTATGTATGTGCTATTGTCTAATATTGTATAAATTGCCAATATTATCGGTTTTAAATATGCCACTTGCCATTTTTTGAATGCATTAACAGGGTAGCTTTGAGGTCATAGTAGTTTGTGTATTTTAAGTTACTGTTTTCGAAAAAACATCGACACAGCAAAATGCGAGCTAAAATATGACTCATAATAATCTAGGTAAAATAAACTAAATTTTTGGCGCAAAAAACCAGGTAAATGATCTCCGAGTTTACTTTTTTTATAAATATATATAATGGCTACTTTACTTTCTAACCATTCGATGAACTTTGAAAATCTCGACGCGCTAATTGTGCGACAATAAACGCGCAATTAATTCGATTATCAAAACGTTAATGCACACGAAAAAACCCAATGATTCGTTCGAGGAAAAGTGCGGTGAAATACGAAATTGCTAATGAGTCATTAGCAAATGTAACACCTAGTATTCTATTACAAATTTGGCACTCTTCCTGGGGATTCTCCAAAATTCCCGATGCATTTATAGCTGTAGATGATACGGGAAAATCGTGACTCTCAGAACTATTCGTTCGATCGAACGCCTATTTGTTGATTGATAAACCGGTGGTTTGCAATGCGGGATTGCGAGAGAACGACCACCGGGCCGACCGCACACCGCACCAATTGACGTCAATCATGACCTCTGATTTCCTAATCGTGGATCTCGATATCTATGTGTATAAATATCGTTACAATTGTTCGTTACCGATCAGAAGAACGTTAGAATGCAGACGAAAATGCTTTGTCAACTTTGGGTGTTTTGATTTCGAAAAAATAAACACCTGATAAGAAAAATTCGTCCTGTGGAAATTGTGAATTGAATGGTGTAGATAGATCGCTATCTAATGAATTTTAATTCGTTCTAATGGGTTGTTTTTGTCTCTTTTAAATCTGAGTAGCTTTATGCGTATAATTAATAATAATAATCAATTGTCAATTAACAACTATCATTTTTTCTATCCACTGTATTCAAATATCGTGTTATTCGTATTATTAGGTAGTTTGTAATTTAGTAATTGATAAAAACAATGCTTAATGAAGGTTAAGGAACAAGTTATTATAATATATTTGGAATGCAAAAGCGCCTGTAATAAATCAATCAACTTTAATATAACAAATTCCATTTTTCTACTAATAAATAAAAAATTGTGTTATATAAAATGGAATAGTAGAATAAACTTATAACTTTTCGAAAATATTCCGATAATTTGGCAAAAAAGACTTAAGTTGAAGTAGTAAATTTCGAATTTAAGTAGGCATTCGTTAAGGTATTGAGTTATTTTGAATGCATTTACATAAATCCATTTTAATCAAAAACATTTAGGATATTCTAATTTGCATCTGAGAATACGTAATTAGCAAAAATCGTTCTATTAATTAAAAATTAGCAATATAAATTAAAAGAAATATAAAATTCAACATAATTACCATAGAAACACACTTATATTTTTTATTTTTTCAAAATTCGTCGTCAAAAAATTATGTTATTATAAATATTTGTAAGTATCAGCACATGCCATAAACTATATAGTTTGTTAACAATTGTTAGACTTGAAGTGGCACCTATGAACAATTGCTCGAAGTTTAAACATAATGGAAACAGTACCTGATATTTTTATCAATACTAATTTTAATATCAAATACGAGGAATAATTATTATAATAAACTTATTCATATTATGTAAAAAATTGACAATTTTTCAGATATATTTAGATGAAAAGAAAAACTACAATACATATTTTTAATCCCACTCGGTTACACTGCTTTTATTGACCTATGGTTAAACAAATTAAATTTATGGTCATTCGCTAAGTGTAGTAAATCGTTTGTTTACGTGCTGTCCAATTTAAAAAGTCTACAAACATATTAATAACAATACAAGAATAGATTTTATTTTATGTACCTCAATTTAGAAATATACAAATTGAAGTGAAAAACTTTGAAAGATTGCGAGATAAATTATGTTGATGTTGATGATAATGAAGATGAAATTAAAATTAACTAAATCCACATACCTGGTTCATAATTTATCAGTTACTACATAATGCACGATGCAAAGATTTATATAAGACTAATGAATCTATTCGATGAGGTTTTTGTACCTACACTAATTTTCCTTACATTAAATAATTAGTATCTACTAGGAAAACCATTAAATAACAAGAAGTCAGGGTAAAAACAATCGAAAAATTATAAACGTTTAATTTTGCATATTTACAAAGCATTTTCTATGAACTATAAAATGAAGATAAGAAAAGAAACTTGTAACATATGTATAATTGCATTAAATTGCAAATATGGAAATTAGAAACACGTTTTTTTAAACTCAAAGACTATTAGAACAACACTATTAGAAAAAGTTGAGATAAAAAACATGCGAATTAATAAAATATGTATAAATATGTAAAGAATCGTAGAATTTTGTGCAATTAAATTAATGTGCTATGATTTCGCGAGAATAAATGCATTTTATTGATTTTGTTTGTATTACCTTATCATTTCCAATAGGTTTCTTTCGACATTTGCGATCGCTGGACAGAAACTGTAAAAATGAATAATGCAACAGTTACATAAAAAAAATTAGTAATCAGTTTGCAGGTCGGAAATAAACAAAACTTACATATATCATATCACCACAGGTAGCATAGGTATATGAAAACACATAGGTATTATAAAATAATTTATTCTAGTAGAAACGAATATAAAAACACTTTTCAAATTTATTACAATGCAAAAACCGATAAAATGTAACATACTTATCTCTAACATTCTTTGAGTGAAATTTTTAAAAACTGTAACAAAATTATTTTGTACTTTATTAATGCGTCTAAATATAAAAGTTTGTTTTGGTACTCAAACCTCGCATTCACGACAAAAAAAATCGATTAACAGCAAACAGTATGCAACTCACATTACATATAAAAATTTGTTATTATTTTCGGATTAAATACTTCAACGATTCAACAAGCCGACACTCTCGATATCGTTAGAATCTAGATATCCTCTATTCCTTACCCCTTGGAGTCCGTTCGGAAAACTCTTAAAACAGCCCATTCTTGAACCAACCCCAATCACCAAACACGAAGCTAGTATTATAAACACGACAATCACAAAAGTCCTCAAACCCTCAATAGCCGAAGCTATAGCTTTATTCGACTTCAGGATTTTGTCGTTCTGCTCCACTAATACAGCATTATCGTTTGCCGGTGAAGCTGTGACAATTCTGCCGCCAGTGGAAGCTGAAGCTGCAGTTACCGCTGGGGTGGTTCTCGCAGAAGTCGTTTTGATTTCGCTACAATTCACCTCGCTGGGCAGAGCAATCCTCGAATCGATCAGATAGTGCTTGATGGCTATCAAGTCCTCGCAATACCAGTTGTTGCGCGCCAAATCCAAGCTAATCAAGTTGTTGAAGTTCTTCCGCAGCCAGTAGACGTTCAAATATTGCAAATGGTTGCCGCTCAGGTTCATCCGCTTCAAATTGCTGAAGCTGTAGTTGTTGCTGGTATCGAAGGATATCAAATAGTTGTTGGAAAGGTCTAGAGTGGTGAGGTTATCCAGCCCTTTCCATTTTTCGGCGTAGGATTCCACTAGGTAATTATCGTTGATGCGCAGTTCTTTCAGCGATGATAGATTATCGAAAACTCTCACATCGATGGTTTTGATTTTGTTGTGACCTATGTTCAGAGTTTCCAGGTTGTATAGGGCGGTAAACGAGAGTTTCGACAACGCTTTGATTTTATTGCAACACAAATTCAACCATTGCAGATTTTTTAGATTTAAAAATACCATCCCGCTATCGGGAATGTCCTCTAGTTTATTGTGACTCAGGTCTAGCTCTTTGAGATTCTCCAGCCCCTCAAAGCTACCCTCCGACAATTGCCCCAGCTCGTTGCTCCTTAAATCGAGTTTACCCAAACAAAACAAGCCCTTAAACGCTCCCACTTCAATAGATTTCAGTCCTTTATCGTGCAAATCGATCTCCGCCACGCCATCGGAGCCCAAGCTGATGAAGGCGTTCTTGGTCAAAACGTAGATGGTGGAGCAATTGAAGTTCACAATATTCCCTTGATAAGAAGCGTCTTGGGGATCGAAACTGAACTGGTTCGCTTGGTAATCGGCCAACGAAGGAAAGGTGCGAATTCGCCTGGTCTTCTCCTCGAAACAAGTTCTATTGTCCTGAGTTGTAGTCCCCTTAGCGCTGTTTGTAGTGGAAAGTGAGTGTGTTGTTTGACTCATGGATGAACCGAAACACATCAAAAGAACCACATACGTTATGCTGCACATCTGGAAACGAGTATGTTGGATTATTTTGTATTAACAGATGATAATAAATAAATGAGACTATTTTTTGGTAACTTTGAACTGATTTTTGCAGTTATTTTTTGGGAACATTTCGATGGATTAAATATTAAAAAAGAAGTCTCAATTATTTATTGTCATCCGGTACATGTTAATACAAATCGAAATTCTTGTTAAGAGTTATTAAAAACCTAATCACACACATCTGGGTACCAGATGTGTTAGTTTTGTTGTTAATTACGAACATGCTTTCGTTGATTGCGCCATGAATTAACATTTTCGATTAGGTTCCCCGATAAATCAATAAATACTTACGTTTTCCAATTTCTAATGCACCGTAAACCATTTAAATCCTTTCCAGAACTGGTCGCTGAAAAAGCAATTTCAATCATGCATTAGTTACGCTACGGCGATAAAATTTTCTTTATCATTTACCCATATCTAAATTTAGCCTTTTAGTTCCTTTCATTAACGTGTCAATAGAACAGAAGTAATTCGCTCAGTTATTTCTATGATAACTTAAATGTATTACTTCCTGTTTGGGATTTTCGATACAAAATTTTCTAATTAAGGGTAAATGGATTCGATTATTTACGTAAGCATAATGAGTGGTTGATAAATTGATACTCGTAACAGAGGAACCAATTATTCGACCTAATTCAGGAATGCTTAGTTAAATTTTTTATGTGGCAAAATCAATTAGCGAAAGCCTCGTTTACGATTAAGTTTTTAAAGTAACTGTTAAAGCCGGCAATTAAGGCAAATTTAATTTTTTTTTCAAACGAAACAAATTAGTTCGTACGCAACACAAAAAGGTTAAACAGTTATTTTAGCCTATTGTGCTCCATCAATATGCATAAAATGACTATCGACGTTTCAAGAATTATTGAACTCAAGGTGCACCTTAATCGTTCGATTTTTTTAATGACATTATTAAATACCTTAGCTATTTGTTGCGTTAATAGAATAATAATTGAACGTACCTTTTTCCTGTTCTTTTCACCACTGTAACATCACTAAATAAATAAAATATTACAAATATACAGCAAGATTAGTCGGAATGAAAACCAATACGACTTAATGACCGCTCGGAAACAGCTGAGTGGAAATGAAATTTCTGTCTTATCAGTCGATACACACAGATAAAGTAGCCATACAAAAAAAGTAAACAGTACAAAAACATTTTGTTTCAGTTTATTTGCGTAGTACACCAAAACGAAATCGATATGACTGTAGATTCTTTATTCTATGTAATTAAATCGAAAAGTCCTCTAACGAATACCAACAACTCCTCGTAGAATCGGTCAGTTTTAATTCGATCAATAGACGGGAAAAAAATTAATCCGATTGATAGACTGAGAACGAAACAGCTTGCCCCGTGCAGACGAGACCGATTTGCGTCACGGATTCTCTTGACCTTTTTTTTCCCAAGTCGTCGATGATGACTTTGTCAGCGGTGGAGAGGCGAGGAGAAAGACAGGACCTCGAAGCCTTGTTTTCGATATGCATCGCAATTCGCAATTGATGGATCAACTGGCGTTGATAAAACTCGATTTTTTTCGGCGGATTAACCTGTCGCCTCCACCATTTATTTGATTTTACACGAGAATTATGCACTACTTTATCGCCAAAAATCTCCCAAAAATCTTATAGTATTCTTCGTACTTAATTTTTACTCCCAACAATTTTGTAGACATATACTAATTTTTGTATTAATATCTATTACACAACGTAATTCTTAGGAACGCAAATTAATAAGTTATTAACAACAGGAAATGAATAATTATTTTCGTAATAATCGACCGATTTAAATAAAATTAATGTTGAATCCTGCTGGTATAAAAAACAATGAAGATGAGTCTGCCAACAACACCGTATCAATCCGCTAATAATAATTATAATAATAGATTTAACAGCGAAATAAATAGTGGGATCGTTTGAGGAAGCTAATTATAGGATAGTTGCGGATGTTAAAAGTATATCTTATGAGATAGGTGCCTAATTAAGGTTTCAGGTGTTAGAAACCACATCCTAAATAATTAATTCAAGATATTTTTAAGTATTGCTCATTTCTTTGTTTATTTTAAAGAGTAATTTAAATTGTGCACTTACCGTTGCAATGAAGCAATCTACAATCGGGGAATTCTTCTCTTCCTTTTTATCCTCATCGCGAGTCTCATCATCTGAAGCCGAAACTAATATAGCTTTATCGCCCTGTAAAACAGAATTACGTATGAAGATTTTTAATTGCAATTACACTTCCAGACACCCCGAGTCGGAACATCAATGGCATACTCTCTAATCGAACTAACTCTTAACAATTAAGCATTTAATTGATAAAAACATCTCGTTTTATTATCCGGCAACGTTATTTACGACGTAGAATAAAAGGTAAAGAACTGATTGGGCTATTGTTCCGAGTTGCTTACACCTTTTAGCTATAGTGAAGCATGAAGGACGGAAAGTGCAAATATGCTTTTAATTTTTCGCTAGTTTACGTCAACTAATGTCTATTTTATTTTATTGCTTATTGTCCGTATTGTATTTTTATCAGCGCTAATCAATAGGTGAGGAATTATAAAAAAAATCCTGTATATTGTTTGGGATAGAAAATTGATGAATTGATGAAATTGAAAATTGAATCTAATTTCCAGGGTATTTTTTTAAATATTATATTTCCACGTTGTTTATCAAAGTAAGGCAACGTCATTTAGCACAAATCATGTTAATATTATGTTAACGTCTAGCAAAACCAAATTAAATAAATGTAATTCATTTAATACATATTAAGGATTAAATTCATCGGGGAAAAACTCAAATACAAATGGCTAGACATGACAGAAACTGTCAATTTGTACATCACCCTGTATATTCAAACGTGAAACATCAAATAAATCTTGGTAGGTAATCCAGCTTGGCAAAAACGAATGTACGCATTAAAAACTTTCGACACAAGTGCAATAAACTCAGTCGAGAAAATTAAAAGGCAATGTTTATATTCGATCTAACCTACAAAAAAAGTAGAATAAAACGTTTACCTCCGATAGAGCGTTGATGTAAAATGACGACGAATATGTTCGCGGTGGGAAATTCGTACTGTGGTCGGACATGTCTTGCAAAACAACACTGTTCCGCGCACATTAACGATAAATTAACTAAAATAATCCGCTGAAAAAGCTCGCGAGCGGATAAACAAACTGAAAGCTGAAAATAGCCAAAGAATACCGATTTCAGAATTTGACTTTGACAATGTTGACACCTGACAGTTGCCTTACGATCTTTCTGTTTTGTGGCTATTCGCTTGCTGATTGGTCGGAATACTTACCATAAATTACAAAAAATAAAGGTAAATGCTAATTTATTCAAATTTAAATTCCCATATTTTTGCTCGAATTGATTAATAAAACAATATTCAATAACTAAATTCAATGGATATGCTAATAATTTGCTATAGGTAGATCTAATAACACAGCTGTAAAACTGGTTGCCTACGTCTTAAGGATAAATGTAAGAAATTTATACAGAGGTGGCTTCAGCACATGTGTACACTACTACTACAACTACTTCTAGTATTACTAATTCGCAGGCGAACCTTGACGGAGACAGGTCGAGCCAAGGTTCAGGCAATGACGCCTCTAGCGTGCCCATTGTGCCTTTTCTGCTGCTTATGCATCCATGAAGCCGAGTCCCTCGATGAAGGCCTCAGTCCTTTTCAATGGATGCCTGTTTGTGTCTCCAGGGCCATAACAGGGAATCCAAAGATTCGCCTGCGGAGCGCAGCCCAATTTTGACACTCCAGAAGGACATGGTACGATATTTCATCAGCCAAACCGTAGACCCTGCAGGACTTTCCCCTAAACCTATGTTATGGAGGTGTTTTCTCAGACAGCAGTACCCCGTTAGGAGTCCTGCTATCTTTTTTAACCTAGTTGGTAGTGCCACAGCAGCCCTAGCATGTCCATCAGTCCAGCCGCTATGTGTACACTAAATTTCTCTACAAAAATTTCACAAAAATAAATATTTATTCAATTTTCATCAATTTTTACTTCTTGAATCATTCCATGAGACATTACTAACAACATTACCAAAATAATAATTAAATGCATATAAATCATAATCGAAGCGAATGTGTATTCGTTGGTCTTCAAAGCGTAAGTTCCCCTTCCGAATGTCAGTTCAAGTACGTGAAGAATAAGAAACCCTTCGATGGGTATAAAAACACACAAAAACGTATAAATAATATAAAAATTATCAATAGCCAAAAAGAAAAACAAGCTTCCCATAAAAAATAAAAAGAAAACTATTAACAGAGCGTTGATTATTTGATACTCGAAATTCACTTGGCAAAAAGTCGACAATCCTCCGGTTATAACATATATCAACAAAGCCCCAGCTAGACTTACGAAGAACATGGAAGGCGTGTGAAAGTGCAGATAGAAATACCCCACCGGATAACTCGCAGTAAAAGTGAACAAACTCGCCGAGATAAAATTAAACGGCGGTACATTTCTTAAAGTTTTGATGCTGTGTATCAGAAGGTAAAATATGAAATCCAACCCGAAGAAGCAACCGAGCACGATCAACTGGTGCTCCTCGAACGCTTTCACTCCCCTCATCAAAACGCTGCACGTAACGAACAATAAGGTTAACACAATCTGTACGAGGAGTACTATTAACACGCGCACGAGAAACCCCTTCCGGGTAATCCCGACCACGGCCTCCTCGGGGTGGAACGCGCCAGACTGGTCGTACTGAGGCGCGATGTAGGTGAGGTACTTAATCACCGAAAATCCCATGAGGACAACTTCTTGCGGAGCGACTTCGATCTCTTTGGGATATTTCCCATCGAAATGGAATAGTTCCCGGCGATCCGGAGTTACGAGCCCTTTCGTTTTGTCCACTTCGATTAACGTGAGCGATGGAATCGTCGCTTCTGAAAGACCAACTCCCTCGTCTCGGAACAAATTAGTACCATCACTCGCATCTACTTCTTCTATAATATGTACCATCAAAGAGCGGATAAATTCTTCCACAACCTCCCTATCTTCATTAGCGCCTCGATTACCATCGGGAAGTGCCATTTACACGAATTTATCCTCCTGTTTAAGCAGACGGATTTCTGATTCAATTTGACTGACTTTTCGTTGACAATGACGTGGTCCGTTAGCCGGAAAAATCGCTCGCATTCCGGCCTAACGTAATCGATTAGGGGCCCACTGAATGAACCCACGCGTCCCTTCAGCGGCGATATGACGGCGTTTGTTTGTACGCCTACGAATTGATGACGTCATCTACAGCAAACTCGTATTCCTGCTAGAGCTATCCGAATCGATGCCGCGCCGTGTTTTTCATCTTATTGCAGTAATAAATTGATGCGTGGGAGTGGAAGAGCGACGTTGCGGATAGGAACTTTCCTTCATCCTTTCAACTTGGGCTCATCTAAATTTGTAATTTTTTGTTTTTAGAACAGGATTATTTCGGTATTAAGGATTACAGGTTTAAAATGTAGTGCATAATGTTTTGAAAAGAGGAACATTTTTTGTAACTCCCACACCTCTAGAATAATGCAATTTTTTTATCAAATAGATATTTTCAGCTCCATTTAACCGCATTAAATCAGTTCTTTATGGACATATTGACACTTTTTAGCGCTTCCAGATAAACGGCGCAAAAATATATTTCCAATTAAAACTTTCCTTTTACAATACAATCACAAACGCGCCTCCTATTTTCGCCCCTTCTTTTTTCGAGAATCATTGTTATCTAAACTCCGGTTCCCCCGGGGGCGCGCTTTTTCTCCGTTACAGCTCCATCGCCATGGCACCCATGCTAGTCAACGACCTCATTGACTTAGAGCAAAGCAAGTTCGGGAGGCCTTTTCATTGGACCCGCCGGGTATTTTCTTTATCGCCGCGCTGAATTTGATGAGACAGACTGGCTAATGTGGCTGGTGTTTCGAGCGAAAACGCGGGAGGATGCCTCTCGGAGTCCCGCGTGTTCGGAGGTTCGGAAATTAACTCTACGACTGAAATTGCGTAACATAACGCAAAAGTCGTAAACAATTTATTGGCCGTAAAATCAACGAAGGCGCATGAAACATTTTACTCTGGTTTTTACGGTTTGGAGGGAAGAAAACGAGTTAGTGGTTTTTCGGCGAATATAATCGGAGGATTTTCGTGGAAAAGATAACAACAGCGGAAATAAACCTTCACAGTAATTCCCCAAAGTTAGGGGAGTTACCATCCAAACAAGATGAACCCACATTAAAACACCAAGTGAACTAATTCACCTATATTAAATTTAACAACATTTTCCCATCTCTACAATTTGAATAGTCCATATTTTTATGCATTCATCTGATTCATCCATCTTTGCCTCAGTTGTGGTTCTGTTTCCTCAGCTAACATTTCTTCAATGTCATTGAAAAGTTCGTGAAATCTTATCAGAACCTCGACACTGTCCTCTATTTCGGAATCTGAAGTATCAGTTTCGTCGTTGGGAAAGACATCTATTAAAAATAACGAAGTTATTGATGGATTCAATTAGAATATAACCTATATTTAATTGGGAATGCGTTGTTTCGAATATGAAGAAGGGACGAAGGTAAATATAAATACTGTATATGGTAAAGTTAATCCAGAATGTGCAGAGGATATTCTAATAAAAACCATTCAATAATTTTATATATTTTTAGTAATAATCGTTACATTTAAGTAATAACCAAATTGGACCTTCTCATTTTACCAAGGGAATCTACTGGCAGCTCTAACCCTCATTAAATTTTTTTTTGACGAAGGTTTTCTCGCTTTTTTGTTTCTTGTTCCTGTAAGAAAATTCGTACTGGTAATAAATTCGAGTTGTGACGAGAGCAGCAAAAATGTAACTCGACTTTCTAATAGGTGCATAAATGAAAGGGTGGAATTTATTGTAAAATTCTAGAATACTTACTTCTACTGTTCCGCTCGGGACCGTTATTTTTATCGCTTCTTTTATCGATATCGAAGACCTTCAGTGCCCTCGGCCGAACGCCGTGTGCATGATGCTTGTGATTTGGCCGTAGATGCCTTCTATCTGCATTATTAGCCTTTCCAGGGGACCCGACGTTCTGTTTTCGAAGGTCACTCAAGTTTAAGGCTCTAGCGAGACCTCCCTTTCTCGGCCAGCCTCTATAATCTCCTTGAATTTGTCTCCTTTTGATCGAGGAATCGGTATTTTGATTACGAAGTTTACTCAAATTTAAGGACCTAGTGATATATTCTTTGTTCGGCCAGCCTCTATAATCGCCAAAAATTTGTCTCTTTTTTATATTTTGATCTGTTCTCAACTTGGTGGAAACTTCATCTGTCCGAAAAACGATAATAAAATGGAAGGAAATAGCGATGGATTTTTAGAATGTCCTTACCTTGAAGTGAAACGTGTACCAATGCAAAAACAACAAGAGCTATTCCGGTAAGTAATACAAACAATTTCATTTTCATTTACCGATCTGTGCGCTATACCTACCAACACTATTATTTTGCTCAAATGGACTGGGCTTTATACGTTTAAAACATTTTAATTATACCAAATGAAAAAATATTTAATTAAAAATGGGAATATATTTATATCCTTCCATTAAAAAAATTTTATTGCCTTAATTCTGCAAGCATAATTGATTACCTATAATATTTTAATTTAATTATTCGGCATTTATTTTAGTGGATTTTAAAGAGCCTCCCACTAAGTAAATTATTCGTGGCATACGCAATTAATTTCTCGAAGGTGAACAATTAATTTAAACACACGAAAGGGTAGTAATGAAAGAAAAAACAATTCTGCTTTTCAATTCAATGCATTTCCTCATTGATTTATCTAAATTTGGTATTTTTCTGAATTATTTCTACAATGATGTTAATGACAATGTGGTCCTTTATTCATCAAGTGGTAGGTACTGCAGTACCTACCAATGGTTACTAGATCGGACATGTTCGTAGGGCCTAGGTGGTCTCCGTAACGGTGGATGTTCGTACGATGGAGCTGAACAAGTTGGTCTCCGAGAGTTCATCCTGTCATAGGGCTGTAGGAGAGCCGGGCGAGGGGGCCCCCAGTTCGGCGGAAGGCGAAATGCTTCCTCAATATTACCTTTGTATACATCTGTATGATACCCATCGTGGTAGTCGTAGTCATGGAATTCCCGTGGATTCTGGAGGAAAGCCGGCGGAGGGGGTCTCACCTGCGGTCTGAACGCTCTGAAATATTCATGCAGGAACTCTGGTCGGAGTTCTATCCATCTCGGTTTATGGGGCTCGCTTCTCAAGATTGGGTAGGCCGGGAAGGGGTAATCGGGTGCTTTATTAATCCAGGGATCGAATGCGCCGCGCTGCGATGGGTCGTATTCTGGGATAATGCTTCTTGTACTTGGAGATCCTGTAACAGGAGAGGGATTTGTTTGAAATCTCGGTTGAAGCGGCTTGCTTCTCCAAGCCGGAAGGTCCATAAAAGGGTTGTCGGTTTGCAGATCAGGGGCAAATCTGGGCGTGTTGGGTGCATGTATTTCTGTATATCTCGTGTTTGAAGATTCTGTAATAGCAGAGAATTTGTTTGAAATGTGGATAAATAATTAAATGGAAATATTATAGATAAATAATAAAACAGGGGGTTAAAAATGCTTATTGCGCAGAAGTACCAGGTGGAAATCGGAGTTTAGGTAACAATGATTCAACAAATAGGGAAAGAATAACAGACCTGCTGTACAGAATATGATTTAAAGAACCGATTTAATAACTCTTTTTAAGGATAGCGGATTAACAGGATCCGCAAAGGATTAACAAATTGGGATTGTCTATCAAAGTTCTTACTGCGAGTCTCCAGGAATGCCGGTCTGGGGGGTTTCCATTTCGGAGGAAGTACAAAATCGTCCGGTGGATCCTCATTAACGGGTTTTGGGCGAGGTCTCTTCTCTCGGTTCTTTAGGAATTCCGGACGGGGGGGCCTCCATTTCGGCGGAAGGTGAAATTCCCCATCATCTTCTAATTGTATCTCTTGCTCAACTTCATGAACTTCTTCCGGTTTCGGTTTTTTCTGCAGGAATTCCGGTCGGGGTGGTTTCCATTTGGGGGGAAGCTGGAAATCGTCCTCAGGTGATTCATCGCTGTCGGGTTTCCGTTGTGGTTTTTTTTGCTTCTTGTAGTTCTTCATGAATTCCGGACGGGGGGGTCTCCATTTCGGCGGGAGGTGAAATTCCCCATCATCTTGTAATTGTATCTCTCGCTCAACTTCAGGAACTTCTTCCGGTTTCGATTTTTTCTGCAGGAATTCCGGTCGGGGTGGTTTCCATTTGGGGGGAAGCTGGAAATCGTCCTCAGGTGATTCATCGCTGTCGGGTTTCCGTTGTGGTTTTTTTTGCTTCTTGTAGTTCTTCATGAATTCCGGACGGGGGGGTCTCCACTTCGGCGGGAGGTGAAATTCACCATCATCTTGTCCTTGTACCATTTGCTCAACTTCGTAAATTTCTTCCGGTTTCGGTTTTTTCTGCAGGAATTCCGGTCGGGGTGGTTTCCATTTGGGGGGAAGCTGGAAATCGTCCTCAGGTGATTCATCGCTGTTGGGTTTCCGTGGTTTTCTTTCGTTCTTGTAGTTTTTCAGGAATTCCGGTCGGGGGGGCTTCCACTTCGACGGATACTGGTATTCTTGGTCTTGCCGATTGGTACCACCGTTTCGTAGCAAAATATTTCCTGATCTCACTACTCCTAGCCCATGCGGTATTCCATGTAGAGAATAAATGCTCGGGAAGTAGTCTTCGAATTTCTGTCGTAATGAGACTTCTTCTTCACTGCTTGAAGACTCTATAATAGGCGCATAAATAGTTAGAAGTCGTTAGAAATTGTTAGAAATTGTTAGAAAATTGTTAGAAATCTGGATAAATGAACTAAAAATCGTGTATTAAGATAAATTTTGGAAAAATTACCACTTTCATCGCCGTTTGCGCATTTGAGTAATAAAACGGCGAGCAAAAAATGAATTTTCATGTTGAGCTCTTGTATAACTGAGCTTTTTTTTCAATATCTTTTTATTTAGCCGTTATTAAATTTCATAATTCAAAACGCCTATAACTTTTTGCTTTAATATTTCATTATGTATGTTTAATGAACCGTTTGTAGATAAATATTTAATTTGTTGGTCATATAATAATTTTTAAATACGTAGTTTTACTAATGATAAAATTTCGTGCGGAAAGCGGAAACGCCTTTTAAAATATTTTATTAAAAATTTCCAATATTATTGTTATTAAAACAGTCTATTGTTTAAAAAAAGTTATAGTATTTCATTTTTAGTTTCTTAAATTGGTTTCTCTGGTCTTACTCTGGTTTCTCTTCAGCAGCGAATAAATCTTTCGCCTTTTTTTCTTAAATTGGAACAGACATAAAAAATGTTATAAATAGAAATCCCAAATTATATTACTAATAATAAATGAGTCAAATTTATGTGAATTTTTAAAATGATATAAAACTTCTTTTAAAATTTTCACAACACCAACATATTTAAAATATCTACTGACATTTTTTTTCTAACGCCGTAGGATTTGATTATACGCGTAGATATTAATATTAAAACACATTTTTTATTTTAAATTATTACCTACATTGGTTTAAGAACTAAATTTTTTTAAGCAATTTTATGTAATGAAACAATAAAATTTTCATATTATTTAATTTATTTTCTTCTCCTGGTCATAATAATATCTGATGATAACATTTCAGCATAATAAAATAGGGGCAATCAATTTCGACGAGTCCATCCTCTATTCTCCATCCAAACTGCAAATAATTTTAAATAAAGATTATTAATATTATTATAAAAAATAATAGAAAAATAGCGTTTAATCCTTAACTTAGTTAAGTGAGTTAGACATAGGCAAGAACTTTTTTTTGTCTGCAGGACAAACACATGTAGTAAATTAAGAAATTTTTTAAACCAAATAGTTTAGTAAGTAGGAACTTGATGCTTCTTTGTAATAACATTTACTAACGAAACTGAAGAAATTCATCTCCGAATTTTCCACTCCGCCTTATTCTGCCCAACCTGCCCGAATTCGGCCTCCGGGGTGGTTTTCTTTTTTCCTTCTGGTTGCTCAGAAATTCAGGAAGAAGGATCTCCCACTTCGAAGAAGATTGATATTCCTCGTGTCTCAGATCTTGTCGTTTGGATGCACCATTCCTCAGCAAAGCATTTCTTGACTTCACCCTTACTCCATGTAAGAAATCGTCCGGGAAGTAATGGTCGAATTTCTGTCGTATCTGGACTTCTTTGTTAGTGCTTGAAGACTCTATAATAGGCGCATAAATTTGGTTGTTACTGTAGAAATTATTAGAATAAATGAAATATATAGTAAATACATTTTGGAAAATTACCATTTTCATCTCCGTTTGCGGATTTAAATAACAAAATGGCGAGTAAAAGATGATTTTTCATGTTGAGCTTTTCTATAAATGAGCTTTTTTGTATAACATTTTTTTTTATTTAGATTTATGCAGGCTTATGGGTTTGTCATTTATTCCTTTAATATCTTATTATGAATGCTTAATGAACCGTTTGTAGATAACTGCATATTTAATTTTTTTTGTGTTTAATATAATAAAATAATTTTAAGATGCGTAGTTTCACTAACATGATAACTACAAAAAACGCATTTTCAAATTTTAAAAACTAAATGTTGTTTCAAAAAGTTGTAGCATTTTAATTATTATTTTCTGTATGTTATAGTTTTATAATAATAGTCCAATGGGAAGTACTCTTCGAATTTCTGTCGCAATTGGACTCCTTCAGGCTCTATAATAGGCGCACAAATTTTATTGTTATTGTAGATATAGTATCGGTGTCTAATTAAACGAAGTAAAAATCTTTTAAGATAGATACATTTTGGATCAATTACATAGGTACCATTTTCATCTCCGTTTGCGCATTTAAGTAATAAAACTGCGAGCAAAAAATGTTGCTCATGTTGGGTTCTTCTATAACTGAACGTTTTTTATAACAGGTGTCTTTTTATTAAGGCGTCATTGAATTAATTAATTTAAAACTCCTGAGCGTTTTACTTAAATATTCCATTATGTATCTTTAATGAACCATTTGTAGTTAAATATTTAATTCTTTAATTCATTAGTTCCACTAATGATAAATTTTAGTGCAGAAAATTTCGTGCGGAAAACGTCTTTTAAAATTTTTATTAAACATTTTCAATATTGAAATTTTTTGCTGTACCTATAACAATTATTTGTAATTAAATACCAAAAAAATTTATTAAAACATTTTTTTCTGTTTTAAATAAATAATAACATTTTTACTAATTATTTAATCCATTTAAAACTTCTTTTAAACTCTACACATTAACATATTTAAAATACTTCAACGTTTTTATTCTAACGCGTCACAGGAATTGATTATTATTACACGCGTTAGATATTCCCAAACAACAACATATTTTTTATTATGTAATAATTATTATACTGGTTTGAAAAATCAATTTATTTAAGGAATTTTAAGTAATGAAACAACATAATTTTCGTATTTATAATTTATTTTCTTGTCCTGGTCATAATAATAATAGTAACATTCCAGTTTTTATTAAAGTTATGTTAGCTAATTTCGACGAAACAGTCCTTTAACCTGTAAATAATGGTAAATATTTTATCATTGTCATTAATAAATGAAAACAGTAGAAAAACAGCGTTTAGTCCATAACTTGCATTTATTGCATTGTATTGAATTTATATTTATTGCATTTAACAATTGCATTTATATATTTTGTAAATATTGTCTCCTTTAGCCTTCTTTATATTCTTTCTATTCCTTTTTTGCCGCTGTTGAGAGAATAATGTTAGTTAATGGGTCTTTAACTTTAACTTATCCTTAACGAACATACCTTAAATGCTTATCTTTTTGCCCTGTAGTGGCCTGTAGGCCACGTTTTTAGTCGTTTCACAGCTGCAAAAATTATTATCGTTTTGTTAACGCAACGCAAACTCAATTTCGTATTATATTAATTGTAACAAAAATAGAAAAACGTACCGAATGGCATAGGCAAGAACCTTTCTTGGTCTGTAGAACAAACATATATGTACATATGTATAGTACCAAATAAAGAAAATTCTTTACAACAAAAATTAAGTAAGTCGGACTCTACGCTTTTTTTTAATAATATTATTCACCGATAAACCTAAAGATATTCACCTGCGAATTTTCCGCTCTGCCTTCTCCGGGCCATGCTGCCCAAGCCCATCGGATCCTGCCTCTTCCTGACCATCGGCGAGTTGCGCCTCGCCACGGGGTATTTCCCTCCGCGAAGGTAACGAGACGAGGACCTGCGGCGGCCCATAGAATTCTGATCCGCCCTTGACTTTGCTAGGCGTTGATGCCTCAACGCCGAGTGCCTCTTCATCACCTCATCCAGCTCCTTCTGGCGCCTTCTAGCCTTGAACTCCGCTATTCTCCTCTTCAGGTCTTCCTTGTGCTCTATTTCCGCCTGCCTGCGCCTCACCTCCAGCACCTCTTGACGTTTCTTCATCGTGCGATCTGTTATCGCACAAAATTAATTAAACGTTTAGTTTGTTTGCTTAGTAATTTCTATAAAGGGTTTGATGGGTGTTTTGTCTTACCATTGCGAGGCTCGGGATTCGAATTTGCGTATCCCGATATAGCCAGTACTGTCAGTGCTATTAGGAACAGATGAGAGAAATTCATTTTAGCTGCATAAGGGTGACGCTAAAATAACTGGCTTTCGTCTATAAAGTGTCTTTAAATATTCGTCGGAATTTGGCATGCCGCAAGGTTTAATTGATTTTATTGGTTTTTGCTGATAGCTTTTTGATTGGAAATTTTAATTAACCTTATTAGACAGGTTTGTATTGATACTGATTTTTTATGTTAAATCATTTGATTTGGGCTACAATTATTTGGAATTAATGTATTGATGAGTACACCTCTGGTAGGTATTTTAATTGAACATTTATATTAATATTTTAATAATTCGTGTCAAGTGAAGCTTGTAATGTAATCAATATTGAGATAATTATTCCATATTACATTAGTAATAAGTTCAATATACATGTTTGTCCATTTTTCATTGCAATATAGGCTATGGGTGCAACAAAGACAACCTCAATTATACACTAAAGGAAAAAGAAAGAGTGACATTTGTGTCATTGAAACTTTTCACTCTGACAACTGTTATTTTAATAATCTTTCTTTGTTTAAGTCATAGAAATGCCCATGTTGTAATGGCAAATGAAGCACGGTGTATAATGTTTCGCAATTTCAATGCAAGTTTAAGTAACTCACAATCAGTAAAAATAGTAGGTATGTAATAATCAGTGTTTAAATTATTTTTCAATTGTGTTCATAGGTAATATTTTTTTAATATTTGAAATAGCTAGATTTTATTTACTGGCTTAGTCAGTTAATTATATTTTATGTGTGTTTATTTCCTACAATAATTTTTTCCTGCTTTATTCTTTATTAAATTTCTGCAATACTATTGAAATATCTAAAGGCGTAACTTACGTATTGTGTTTTTATTTTCGCTTGATTATTAATTTCTTTTTATGCATTTAATTCCAGTGTGATTGCACTGTTCAAAAAGTAAAAAAAAAATTCATAGAAATTTCAGTTAAGTGGAGAGTTATTATTAAAATTTCAAATAAACTTCAACTTTACATCCATAGTTAATAGGTTCCTGTAGCTGAATATTTAATTATGTACACAGTTAGTAGAGCATTCGCAGGAAAAGTTAAATTCGAAATGAACTTTTATACGTACCTTCATCATCCTGTCGGTAATATTTCCATTAAATAATGCATTTTAATTTAGTAAACTGGAAAATTGCTTTATCTAGTGTTTCTAAAAGATTATGTTGTAAGTGGTATAAAGTAAAAATAAATTAAAATTTCTACCATTTTCTGGACATTTTCTCCTTTATTTCCATTTATTACACTGAACAAATTCTTACCGATTAAAATTTTGCAGTTCAACTCTTCACCACGAAATTACAGGAATGAAAAAGGGAAGAAGGGTAATTAACAGTCAATGCGATTTTCGAAAGCGTCTTTATCTATTTCTTTTTTCATCCACTGCATTCCAGTGTTAACTAAATTAACCAAAATATTCGTTTTGAATATAATAGGTTGTTATATCAATGATAAATTTTCGTTGGAATATTAAAAATTGCTATTAAGTTAATAAAATTTTACATTAAAAAATAATGTTACAAGAAACATTGAATTAATAAATGAAGTCATTAACTAATAAATAAAAATTTATTAGGTTAATTAATTTATTTAATTTTTTGAACCAAGTTGGAAGCGTGCAGTTGCAAATTATTGTCAGTGCTGTTTTTAGTGGTAGTCATATTTTTGAAGCTGTCGAGAAAATAATGTTAGTTTATGGATATCACCTTATCCTTAAAGAACATACCTCAGGTACTTATCTTTCTGAATAGAAGGCCAAAATTTTAGTCGTTTCCTAGCTGCAAAAAATGTTATAGTTTTGTTAACGCAACGCAAACTCAATTTCGTACTATTTTAATTGTAACAAATAGGCAAGAACCTTTCTTGGTCTGTAGAACAATTACAGTGCTTTTCAAGGAAACCGTCCATTAGAAGTTATAGGAGATTCTCATGAGTTAGAAATCTGAAATTTTTAGGAGTAATGGATAATCAATGTTGTGAGTTTATCTAAAATATTTTCAACCATATGCGACTTTCGGTTATACTGGAAGTAGATGTCAACTTCATGTCAAATGGAAAGTATCATTTTTGACTTAATTTTTGGATGGTGTGGCTCTTCTTAACTAGAGCTTGATAATAACACCATATAATAAATAATATAATTTAATTATAGAAATAATAAAATTTGGATTATTTTAGAAACGACTGGATTTAAATGTGGGTAATACCTATATAGATCGAAAGAGCTTAAAATTATGCATTGCTCAATGCCTAAAAATACAGGGTGGTCCATTTGAAATAACAAAGTTATGGACACATTCATTTAGCCAAGTTTGTCAGGTAATTTTAAACGCCCTGTAAATAGACCATGAAAACTTAGTTTATTTTCATTTAGTACTGTGTCTGGACATTATCGATACCAAATTTCAAACTTCTAGGTGCATTATTACCCGAGATATCATAGAAAATGCATTCGACCGTTTTTCAAAAAAATTCAAAGTCTAGATAAAAAGACCCACAGAATTCAACAATGAAATCAAAAATGGTACTTTCTATTTGAAATAACGATGTTGACATCTACTTCCGGTATAACCGGGTATCACATACGGTTGAAAATATTTTAGAAAAACTCGCAATATTGATTATCCTTTACACCAAAATTTTCAGATTTGTAACTCCTCAGGAACTCCTCTAAGTTCTAACGGACGGTTTCCTTGAAAAGCACTGTATAGTAACCAATAAAGAAAATTCTTTGTAATAAAAGTTTAGTATGTCGGACGCTTTTTTTCAATAAAATTCACCGATAAACCTGAAGAATAAACCTGAATTTAACCTTCGTCCATCGACGGGTTGCGTTTCTGCACGTATGCTAATTTCCCGAAGGTAACGAGAGTACGAAGGTAACGAGACAAGGACCTAGGACGGCCCAAAGGATTCTTATCCATCCTCGACTTTGCTAGGCGTTGATGCCTCAACGCCGAGTGCCTCTTCATCACCTCATCCAGCTCCTTCTGGCGCCTTCTAGCCTTGAACTCCGCTATTCTCCTCTTCAGGTCTTCCTTGCGCTCCATTTCCGCCTGCCTGCGCCTCACCTCCAGAACCTCTTGACGTTTCTTCATCGTGCGATCTGGTATCGCACAAAATTAATTAAGCGCTTAGTTTGTTCGCTTAGTAATTTCCATAAAAGGTTTGATGGGTATTTTGTCTTACCATTGCGGGGCTCGGGATTCGAATTTGCGTATCCCGATATAGCCAGTACTGTCAGTGCTATTAGGAACAGATGAGAGAAATTCATTTTAGCTGCATAAGGGTGACGCTAAAATAACTGAGTTTCGTCTATAATGTATCATTAAATATTTTTCGGAATTCAGTACGCTGCAAGGTTTAATTGAGTTTATTGGTTTTTGCTGATAGTTTTTTGATCGGAAATTTTAATTAACCTTATTAGACAGGTTTGTATTTATACTGATTTTTATGCTAAATCATTTGATTTAGGATACAATTATTTGGAATTAACGTATTGGTGAGTACATCCCTGGTAGATATTTTAATTGAACATTTATATTAATATTATATTAATAATTAGTGTCAAGTGAAGCTTGTAATGTAATCAATATTGACAATTATTCCCCCTATGCAGCTATTATTAATTAATTAAATAATAGCGTATGTACATTAGTAATGAATTCAATATAAAACGATTCGCAATTTAAATATACAAGTTGAAGTAGCTTAGTAAAAATTCTGAGCACGAAACATCCAGTGTTTTGATTATTTTTCAATTGTGTTCATAGGTAATATTGATTCATTATTTGAAATATGTAGTTAGATTTTATTTACTGGCTAAGGTCGTTAATTACATTTTATGTGTGTTTATTTCCTGCAATAATTTTTTCCTGCTTTATTCTTTATTAAATTTCTGCAGTACTATTAAAATATCTAAAGCCGTAACTTGCGTATTGTGTTTTTATTTTCGCTTGATTATTAAATTTCTTTTTATTCATTTAATTCTACTGTGATTGCACTGTTCAAAAAGTAAAAAAAAAATCATGGAAATTTCAGATTAGTGTAGACTGTGTAGAGTTATTATTAAAATTTCAAATAAACTTCAACTTTACATCCATAGTTAATAGGTTCCTGCAGCTGAATATTTAATTATGTACACAGTTAGTAAAGCATTCGCAGGAAAAGTTAAATTCGAAATGAACTTTTATACATACCTTCATCATTCTGTCGGTAATATTTCCATTAAATAATGCATTTTGATTTAGTAAACTGGAAAATTGCTTTATCTAGTGTTTCTAAAAGATTACGTTTTAAGTGGTATGAAGTAAAAATAAATTAAAATTTCTGCCATTTTCTGGACATTTTCCCTTTTATTTCCATTTATTACACTGAACAAATTCCTACCGAATAAAATTTTGTGTTACAATAATTTCATGCCAATTGAAACGCGAGGTATCTTAAAATTTTTATTTCTGTTAGTTGTAAATTAAATTTAGTTCAATATAAATAAAATTCCTATACGCATCCTACTATTTAATTAGTGACCTGCAACAAAAATTAAACCAGTTAGTATGTTTCGTGGCAATTCTCGTAAAATTACTCGTTTATAGAAATATAAAGGTAAAATATATAAAAGTCTGTAGGAATTTTCAACCCCACGTCTCCAACCCAGAAAGAAGACAGATAAGTGTTTAGTGTGGCTTGTGTTTGTAAATTATATATAAGTTTATAAGTGAATTTTCCGATAAAAGGAGGTTTGTTTGTGCGTTGAGAGTTTTCGTGGTAAATTCACCACCTACCTCATCAATAATGTCTCCATCTTCTGTGGGGGAAACGTCTGTGCCTTGGATATCTGCCTGCTGTGACATGAAATATCATTTAAAAGAAAAGCCCACCCGGTATATTTACACTATCTTATTATTATTGGGTTGATATTTACAATAGTGCTCTATAAATCGATCGAAAGGATTGGAATTTATTGATTCATTAAAAGGAGGTTAATTACTGGACATTGTTAAGTACCTACCTGATCTCCTTCTTGCAGGAAGTTCGTCTTGTCGCTTTCTGGCAGGGGCATCTTCTTGGCGTTTCCTGGCAGGAGCTTCTTCTTGGCGTTTCCTGGCAGGAGCATCTTCTTGGCGTTTTCTGGCAGGAACTTCTTCTTGGCGTTTTCTGGCGGGAACTTCTTCTTGGCGTTTTCTAGCAGGAACATCTTCTTGGCGTTTTTTGGCGGGAGCATCTTCTTGGCGTTTTCTGGCGGGAGCATCTTCTTGGCGTTTCCTGGCAGGAGCCTCTTCTTGGCGTTTTCTCGCAGGAGCGTCCTCTTGACGTTTTTTAGCAGGGACGTCTTCTTGGCGTTTCCTGGCAGGAACCTCTTCTTGGCGTTTTTTAGCAGGAGCTTCTTCTTGGCGTTTTTTAGCAGGAGCTTCTTCTTGACGTTTTCTAGCGGGAACATCTTCTTGTCGTTTCTTCACAGGTACCGCTTCATTTGTATAATAAAAATACTTGATTAACACTCCGATTCTGTTACAATAAATTTGTAATATAACTTAAATGCATTCCTATCAGTATTATTCCCGGATGATTAATTTCTTGATGCTGATTATAAACTCTCACTATTGCTTAGATAATTACTCAAATCAATACCTAATGAAATGGCATAAAAAATCCAGTGAAACTCTTACCATCGTCAGCCAATGCAAATCCTGCTAAGGCTATTACAGCCATTGTTACTAAAAGGAACGTTCTCATGATTGATGATTTCAAACAATGGCCACACTGAAATAAATGAATTGTCTATGTACGATTATTTATATACAAGAAATAAAAACTGTATATACAGGGTTGCGCTAATTTATTGTTGTTTAATTACACAACCATTTTCATGACTTTCGTATATTACATCGATTATAAGGTGATTCCTGCAATCTTGACAGAATTTTATAAGAAAATATCAGTTACTTTTTTAATCAGATATTGTAATAACATTTTTTAAATAAAATAATATTATTAATATAATAATAATATTAATATTTCTCTAATTATTTTTATTATACATCATGCAATATTAATTTATTTATTAGAATTAGAACATAATAGATGTCTAAATCTTGTGTAGCATGAAGTTCTAGGGCTACTGTTGATGAAATTAGAAATGCACTAGTATCGTAACGTATATTCGCATTTTATTTTCATTAGACTTGAAATATCATTTTCATTAATTTTCGTTATATTTCCATTATAATATACATTTCCAGATAAATCGGTTGAATCGCCCTGTATGTACAAGTGAGTTTTTTTAATTAAATCAATTACCCATAAAACGAAACTAATCTAAATGCGCATTACAATTTCTCCTCGATCTGATTAAATTTTATTTTATGTCCTTTTGTTCAAGATATTATTTTTTAACGATTCGAATTTAGGACGTTTCTCGAAGACACCTTGTTTATTGATGGGGACGTTTTAATTAAAAAAATACGGCTTCATTGTGATTTTATTCGCCGGCGATATTCGTCAGATTATTATCGGTTTTAAATCGTAAAAATCCATTGTTAGCGCAGTATATATTTTTTTTATACATCTCCAGCACCTTCCGAGAAATTCTCATTAAATTCGAACAAATCCCAATGGTGGTTGGTAAAATAATTTCGAATTGCGGTGTGATTTGCTTGGTGTATTTTTGAAATTACGTTGAAATAATGTTACGCTATTTTACGTTTATTCCAACGCATCCAAGTTAGCAAGAGCTGCCGAAAATTCCGCTAAGGAATCACCGTTGCGTAAAAAATGAACAGAAGAAGGGCTTTCTTTATTTTCGAAAGGAAAATACGATAACAGTATCCGGTTAACGTACACGAATCGTTACACCGCAGGAGCAAGCTGAAATTTAAACTCCGAGATACATATCGGTTAAATGCATTCGCCATTATTTACCCAAGACCCTGAAACAACTCGCCGGTGTTTGCTTAAACGCCAGACGCAATTTAATATAGTGGAAACTTAAGATCCGTTGTAATGCAACTGTAATAACTGCGAAGACTAATGAATGTAATTGTCTAGGAACGAGATGTTTCGGTACATAAGGGAAGCAGATTAGATTGCTTTATAATCGGAATTTTATACACAACCACGGCCGCTCAATAATTGAATACGATTAATTTAATTAGCCGCAATTTATCCAATCAGCGTTACACCGGGGGAAACTCATTTCCAGTAAGTTTAAAATACCGCGAAATTAATTCTGCGGGAGTATTTACATTGTAAATTCAACGCGGTTATTTCATTAGGTACAATATTCTCTACTAATCATCTAATACTACAGCTTTCGGTATTAAACAATACATCTGGCAACAACGCAATCATTTTGACAGGTTGATGAAACGTCATCTGGTTTTACGCTGTTGCCAGCTATTCCGTAGATATACGAAATCGGATAATAGCCGCAACGTCTCGGGGAGTTTTCCGTTTACGGCAAATTGGCGAAATTGGAGTTGGTATAGATGGCGGCCCTACACTCGATGGGCCAATAAAGTGATTACATACTCCCATTATGATATTATACCCGACCGAAACTCCTGCGGAATATCAAGCAGGACGAGACGGCATAATTTAGTTAGACGAGAATAGGCACCTGCGATAAGACGCGCTCCAAAAAACTACTGTATATTATTTTTCGATTATCCTGCTGGTTTAATTGTATTATTATTGGCAGGATAGAATTTGGCGGGTTCTAAATTTTGGCGGTAAAAATCCGCCGGATCAACGGCAACGCCGCTGGCAGTCGTTTCTACCTGTGTATGCACATACACGTAGTATAGTATCGTAAACCAACTCCGGGGTGAATCCGGCGATGAGTCGCCCTTTTACTGCCTATTCTGCGGGACCGATCGAATCCGGGACGTGTGTCTCCAATTGACTGGAACGCATCTTGAATTTATACGCAATTAGATTAAACCTTTCTACCTCGATATATTCATTATAACACATGTATACGATTCCTGCTGAAATAACGTTTCTGCTATACAAATTAACATTCGTTCTAGAACGCTACTAATATGAGATATTATATTGTTTGTTAACAATAAAATTGCGATAGTATTCTTCCTGCTATCCTGTGGAATTGCTAGTGAATCGGCAACGCCGACGCTAGGATAGCAGCGAGTGCGGGATGCGTGGTGCGCTATCGATCACGGGCGGCGCTGGCGCCTTATCCTTCGAATATCCTGCTATTCCTGCTCCGAAGGGACGCAGTAGTCTTCGGGATCGGTTGACGGGCATTTCTATCGACAGGCGGTTGTGCGCTGTACTGCAGTTTACTACACGATGAGTACAACGTTGATCCGGTAGTGATTTTGTACGAGAAGCGGGTTTTTTTCCTAGTTTTACAATACAGCAGAACTGCAGGAAACCGGGTCGTCTCTATAGAGAAGTCTGTCGGAAAGGTTAGTGTGTTTGTTTTTAATTTTCTGTATATTCAGATATAATTGAGGTTTTCAATTTGTTGAGATGTTTATTTGAGGTATATTTGTTTAATCCCATATTTTTTCTACTAAACGAAATATTAATTATAACATAACAAATAATACATACTGTTATGCTATTATTAGGTACCTACATTAAAAATATACAGGTATTTCATTGTTGGTTACAAAATTATAATTTCTCAAAAATTCATAAATTAAAGCCACACATATTTTGACAAACAGTAAATAAATATGTAGGTACTTACCTTGTTGATTTTGGTCCTAATTCAATCATTTCAGCGATCAATTTTGCGGGAATATTTTCCGGCGAGTTTTGCCGCACTGATATATCAAACCTATTAAAAATTACTTTCGGCGATTCATGTAGGTAAGTAGTTACTGCAAAAATATTCACCTGTTGAAATAACAAATGACCGGCGAAATATCCCGGCGGTTACGCAGCGTGTTATTAGAGATTTTCCGAAAAATATTTATCGAATTTTTTTCGGTCAAATAATTTGTGCGCTATGCCTTTATTTTGTGGTATGTTACAGACCTTTCCACGTGTGGAAGGTTGTGTAAAAATGGCGATTGGGAGGACTTTTTGTTTGATCCGTATAAATTCAATAATCGCCTTCGATAATGTTGAAAGAGGTAAAAAGCGGTTTAAGGGCAATTTGGAGTAGTGATAAATGAAAGGTGTAATATGTGGCAACGTAAAAACATTTTCGAAACGCTTCCTGGTTTCCGGAAAAATCCGGATCGAGGTTAATGAAATGACGCTCGAAATGGCCAGCCATCAACCGCTTTCTTATCGAAAAGTCCAAAAAAAATTCGAATCGATACGAAAAATTCACGGGAAATCCTTCAAAACGTCGTAAGGAGCGCACTTACTGGCAAATAACAATATTTTGACAGTCTCGAGGATAAATATCGACGTGTAAAAACTTGTTTCCCACCTATTGTTGCCCGGTGTTTATTAAACAGGCGCCGCTCTCCCTTCGCGTTTATTTTCTTCCCGAACCGAATTTTCCCGGCCTTCCTTCCCAATTTCCTCGGAAACGCTTTCCTGAAAATTCATGAGAGGCAATACACCCCTCGCGGAAGCCGCGCGAGATCCATCATATCTTTTTTTTTCTTCGGCATATTCGCATCCGACAGTCATACGGATGGAGCATCACAATCGCTTTAAGGGAGTACTCGCGCTGTAAATACTGGTTTATTGAATATTTAACCGGTCGGAAAAATGAAAGGCGCATACGAATCTGTCCCGGGGAGTTTTACATTTTTTAAAACCGTAGAGAAAATTCGTATATTATACTCCGAAATGACTTCGCGAAGTCGTTGTATTTATGTTTGCAGAAAGTCGGTTCATTTGTGATGCTTTTCGCAAAGCATCGGGATGTGGAAAAACACCGGGAGAAATAAAAAGCTCGGAATATTGATGAGCCGTTTGGCGAGACAGACGCGACAAAAAACAGAGCAAAAAAACCTTTTGAATATTCACGAGACACGAGTAAATATAGCATCATCTTGTATACACATAATGCGATAAGGTTTTTCAACGTTGTAGATACGGTTCTGTAACTTGCTAAGTTTTTAACTAGGTTACGAACTAGCCGGACGTGTGTGGTGAATCTCTTTGAAGGTTAATTTCTTCTCGCATTATAACTAAATTAAATAATTACAGTAGGAGAGCGCTCTTACCTAGAGTTTCCTGGTTGGAAACGGCCGCGTAGGATGTGTACACAAATTTCAATTTTATCCAAGGTTCATGTTGTTTCTTCTAACTTAAATTGGAGTGTTTAAAGTCGAGCATACTAGACCAATTTTACACCAGTATACACGACCGAATTTTCGTTCGGTTGACTAGTCACTTCCAAATTTTACACATGGACGATTGGTGGAAAACAAAGCAAAGAGATGCGTGCGTTACAAATAAACTGGAGTATTTCAATGAAATAATTCGAGGGTCTCCTTCCCTAAAGGTCATTGGGCAAAGAAATGGTGGAAAGCGGCTTCATCAAAGTTGAGTGTTTAGTGTAAAGACAGGTCCGACTGACGCAGTCGCCTGATTATTATTGCCGGGGAGTGAAGTTACTGGCGGGAAATAATTGGTTCGTTATGCCGTTAGAAGCTGCTTTGGGGAAGTGCCGAAACGATGAAAGGATTTAAAGGACATCGCAGTTTGGATGGGATTTCCATGGCTGTTATCTCGTTTTGATTCCGTCGTACGCAAAGGAAATCGCTTTTTCCGGGCCCTTCCGCTTTCAGCGAACGGAGGCGTTCAATCGATTCGAACGAATAACGGGTAATTTGTAACGTTTTAATTACCGCCAGTACGTCGCGTCGCGTCGTCTAGTTTCGGAACAGTTTTCGCCGTGAATTTTTAATTTAACGCTTATGTTGCATAGTTAATTAAATCCCGGCAGGTGTACGAGGAATAATTCATCGCTGCG